CATTGTACAGTGTATATACATCATTCGTTCCAAAATGTTTACATTCTCAACCTATGTAAGAGCACGGACTTCGTAGAAATATTCAGTAACATACCCTCTAATGCCTCTTCATTATACATTTAAATTCTGTATTCATTTATCCATAAGTGCATTCCACAAATCAAGAAGACTTATTAAGTCTGCCCAGCATTGGGCCATTTGCTAAATGTTATTTTATTTCCGTCATCATCCATTCATTCATTCCTTCTTACTATATTTATCCTTCCAAGTCAATAGTCATGAAAAGCAGCTCCATCATTCAAGCCTATTCACTTTGTCATGCTAAATCAACAAAATATGCACGCAACTTTCTTCCTTGTGCTCATATATTTGTCCAAAAATAAATAAATAAATAAAATCCCTTAGGTTTAAAGAGTTCTGTTTCAGATTACTTAAGTATATTAAAACCCTAATACTAAATGAAATTTATTTAACATTGGGGTTTTTTAAAATCTGTTTTGTTAAACCTAGGTTGTCTTGAGGGGAAAACACAATTGATGCTTGCCTGCACAATGCCTTCACAACAGCAAAGTTGTTGGTCTAGTACAGGGCTTTCCAAACTTGGCAACTTTAAGACTTCTGGACTTCAACTCCCACAATTCCCCAGCCAGCTATGAGGAATTCTGGGAATTGAAGTCTACAAGTCTTAAAGTTGCCAAGTTTGGAGATTTTTGGACTACTGCATCAACTATGCTGTTTTTATGAAATTCCCCCCGCACCCACCCCCGGTGTCCATGGGATATGGCTGTAACTGGAGTTTTATGATTTTATGACCGTGGGGATACTACCATGGTCATATGTGTGAGGACTGGTTTTAAGTCACTTTTTTCTGTGCCGTTGTAACTTCAAACAGTCACTGAAGGAATGATTGTAAGTTGAGGGCTACCTGTAGCTTTAGATGAATTCTTTTGGAAGCCATGGTTTTCAGTTACTCCTTTAGTAACACAGGAGTAGAAATCAGTAAAATAAGTTCACCATAAAGGATAACGATTGGGCAAAAATGAGATGTAAACCATTTATTAACTTGCTCTAGATGGCAGCTCCTGGCTAACCTCACCAATCTTCAAATGCTAAGAGCTGGTTAAAAGGCCACTAGGAAATTTACTAGGTTAGACTAGAAAGTGTAAAAAAAAAAAAAAGTGATATTGGGAAGAGATTTGTACCTAAAATTGAGTGAGAGACTAGAAGTGTTGACAGACAGTTGATATCATAATCCATGTTAAGAGATGGGCGGTGAATAAATTTGGTAGGTAGGTAGGTAGATAGGTAGATAGATAGATAGATAGATAGATAGATAGATAGATAGATAGATAGACAGATGATAGAAAGATAGATACCGTATTTTTCGGAGTATAAGACGCACCGGAGTATAAGACGCACCTACCTTTTTTGGTGAGGAAAAGAAGAAAAAGAAATCTCCCTCTGCTTCTGATCAATTTTGCCTCGTTACAGCAAACAGCCTGCTTTACTTTCATTGTTGTTTTCAACATAGCTTGATTAGCACAAGGGGGAAAAAATCTGCTCCAGCAATTTACCTCCTTGCAGCAAGCAGCAGAGCCCTGCGCAAAACAGCTGAGAGCAAATCAGCTGAGAGTCGGGAGGCCAGCCCAATCAACTTGTGCTAATTAGGCTGTGCTGAAGGTGAAAGGAGTTGGTTTTTTTCTTGCTGTTTGCTTGCAAGGAGGTAACTGCTGTGAGGCAGAGGCCAAAGGGTGGGGGCCAGTGGGTGGGCGGGGCTATATTCAGTGTATAAGACACACCTAAATTTTCACCCCTTTTTAGGGGGGGGGAAAGGTGCGTCTTATACTCCGAAAAATATGGTAGATAGATGATATAGAGAGATATGATAGATAATGATGGATGGATAGATAGATCAGCCAACAGACAGACAGACAGACAGACAGACAGAGATAGATAGATAGAGATAGATAGATAGATAGAGATAGATAGATAGATAGAGAAAGAGAGATAGAGATAGGGAGATATGATAGAGATATGATAGATAATGGATGGATGGATAGAGTAGATGGATAGATAAGATGGATGTGTAGGTTGCTAGGTAGAGAGAGAGAGAGGGTGGGAGGGAGAGAGAGAGGGATGGGTGAGTGAGTAGGTAGGTAGATAGGTAGATGGATGGACAGACAGAGAAAATGTTTTTCGGATAGCCGCTTGTGAACAGCCCCCTTCCACCGGGTTCCACATATTTCACTGCCATTCTCTTGTGAATGAGGTTGAAGCTGATGACCTTATACCTGAAATACTTTTTTTAAAAACTGAATCCATGTTCAAGCCCATGGCAATTAAATTTTTCGCTGTTTCCTCTAAGACGGGCATCAGCCAGATGTGCGGTGGGTTGACATTCACGCCACATAATTTTTAATCTCTTGCAAATGCGACATAATTTAATCTCTTGTCAAAGGATAAGATTCCCCCTTGGGCAGGGCAAAAGACCCAGCTATGCGCTTTTTAAGTTCCGGAGTCGAAATAACAAGCAGAAGAATTGTGCGTTCAGATGGTTGAACATTTACGGCAATAAATACTGAAGAAGCAGCCTTGGGAAAATTTTTTTTGCTGCTTCTTCTTTTTTTTCCTTTCTGAATTCTTCAAGACATGAAACGTGGGAAAACTGCAGAAGGCTGTTGAAAGAACTTGGTGACCTTTTGCAGTAAATGTGGCAAGGAACACAAACAATCCGTTTCTATTGTGAAGGGGAAAAATATGAAAAGGTTGAGTCAGTTTCTGTAGGGAAAAGGGGAAGTGACAGCAGAGTTGTTTTCCTGTGCGTTTCTCTTAACATTGAACTGTGTCATAGCTACTCGGCTGAAAACAAAAACAAAATATGTTAAAAGCCACTCACGGCAAAAATAGACGTGAGTTTTGAGGCTTGGAGTTCCACTTTAGAATTTTGTGTCTTTACAATTCCATGCTGGAATTCTTCACCCTCCCAAAAAAAAAAAGAGAGATTTTCCTGCCTGGGAACCTTATTCTTAAGTTGTTTTTGAATGATCCTGGCATTAAACCAAGGCGTGAATAAAAACAGTTTGAAACTGTAACACTGCATTTCTGAACTATCAACATTTGAAATGCCCTTGTTATTTATTTTCTTAGGGGAAGGTGCTTTTTTTTCTCGTTTACAGTGCAGGCTGGCCTGACCTAAGGAAATACTTGATGACGAGATAAGAGGGGCATTTTCATTTCGAAGGGAGGGGAAAAAAATGTTTTTGGAGCAAGGAAAGAGAAATGAAATCAGCACAGACAGCCCTGACTTACAGCTGCATAATTCAGCCCAGAATTTCCATTGCTAAGCGAGACGGTTGTAGAGTGAGTTTTCGTTCCAATTTTACAACCTTTTTGGCCACAGTTGTTAAGTGAATCATTGCAGCTGTTAAAATTAGTCACACGTTTGTTAAGTGAATCTGGCTTCTCTGTTGACTGCTTGTCAGAAGGTCATGTGATGACCCCGGGACGCTGCAACAGTCACAAGTACATGCCAGTTGCCAAGCCTCTGAATTTTTCATCACAGGACCACGGGGGTGCTGCAGCGGCCGTAAGTGTGAAAAACGGCCCTGGAAAAACCGATTTATGACCGTTTCCACACTTACAACTTTTTTGCAGCATCCCTGCGGTCACGAGATCGAAATTTGGTTGCTTGGCAACTGGCATGTAATTTAATGTGATCCTGCTTTGTGGACTTCTGATTAGCAAAGACAGTGGGGGAAACCAGAGTCACTTAAACATGTTCCCACCTCCACCGTTTGCAGTGACTCACTCAATGGCTGTCTCAAGAACGGTTGCAAAGTGGGAGCAAACTCACTTAGCAAACTGCCTCTCTTAGCCGTGGGAAATTTTAGGCTCCCTTGTGGTCGCAAGTCGAGGAGTTAGTGGGAAGCCCCATTTCTAAGCATCTCTCTGCCCCGAAGAGCCCCCCAGCCTTTCCAGCAGAACCCCTCCAGGACAGACCCCTCCCCCAAACGTCTTCCCTGGGGGTGGGGGGAGGCGCTGCGAGGTTGCTGCTGCTTTCCCTCCAGAGGCCATTAGGGGGCGCCCTTGGAGCGCCTTAAGCAACCAGCAGTTAGTGCAATGCAGCCTGCCAGGGGGAGTAAAAACTCTCCCCCCCCCCGCCCCATTTTGTTCGCCCCGCCGAGCTCCTGCGCGTCCTTTCGCTTTCCTTTGCGCGCGTGAAGACTCCGCCGTCGCTCATGGCTCCGGAGCGGGATTGAAAGCGGGGGGAGGAGGCTACTTTGGAAGATGCTGCCCCTTCCTTCCTGGCTGCCTTGAAGGTTTGAGCTGTTTTGGGGGGGGGGGGTTTGAAGGGAAGCGGGGCCGGCGGGGGGGAGGGAGAAGGGAGAAGAGGCGCCGCCTGCCTTGCTCTCCATCCCTTTCGCGCAGCGCTCGCCCGCCACCGCCTTGGGCTGCGGGGCTGGCCGCCAAGCTTTCAGGCCGGGCGGGGGCGCGGGGGTGGGGGGCGCGGCGAGGGCGTGTCCGGAGGGCCGGGCCAGCCAATGAGCGCCGCGCCTCCCTTGCCTGCATTGGGCGAGCGGGCAAGCCAGAGCCCCCGCCAAGCACCCGGCGCGGAGGGGGGCAGGCAGGCAGGCAGGCAAGCAGGCAGCCGGGCGAGCGAGCGGCCGCTTTGGCGCAGCACCGGCGCGCTCCTTCCCCCGCGGGGCTCCGCATCCCGGCCCCTGCCGTAGCCGGCCGGGGGCGATGGATCTCGGCGTCTACCAGCTGCGGCACTTCTCCATTTCCTTCCTCTCCTCCTTGCTGGGCACCGAGAGCGCCGCGCTCAGCCTCGACAGTAGGTAAAGCCCTGCCCGACCAGGCTCCTCGCCATTGTCCCCGGCGGGCCGGCTGGACGGAGCCTTGACAGCTCCGGCCCAAGGCGGAGGAGGGGGCTGCCACATCCTTAGCGGCCGCTGCTAACCCGCGCTTCTTCTCCACCCCTCCCCGTTTGTGTCTTGCAGCTCCTCCGGGGCCAGCGTGGTCGCCATCGACAACAAAATCGAGCAAGCCATGGTACGTACTGGGCAGCCGGAGGAGGAGGAGGAGGAGGATGGGGTCGGGGGGCGCCTCTCCCTGCCGTCCGCGCTGCAGAGCCGGCGGTGCGCGCTCCCTCCGCCCTTTTGGCCATGGGCCGGGGTCGCTTCGTGAGGTTGGACGGGGGGGGGGTGGACACGACACCGCGCGGCCTCTTGCATCACCCCCAAAGCAGGTGGGGGGGGTCAGCGGGGAGGATAATTGGGGAGGGGGGAGAAAGAGCCTTTAATTCTGGGGTGGGGGGAAGGAAGAAGAGGAGGAGGGCACCCCTTTGGTCTATTGATTGGTTGATTGATTGGTCTCCCCATTTATTATTATTATTATTATTATTATTATTATTATTATTATTATTATTATCCGTTTGGTTCCCCCCCTCCCTCCAATATCCACTGGGCGCTTTTGTTGCTGGAATGCTGCAAGGAGCCCCATCTCCCGGGAACCCCCTCCTCCTCCTCCTCCTCTTGCCTCTGTTGCTAGGCAAACTTGAAGTATAACCCCAGGCTATAAATAGGGCAGCCCCGCTGATTGGCTGAAGGATCAGCTAGGGAGGCGGTCTTCCTCGCCAGGGCTGACGTCAGAGGGGATGGTGGGGAGGGAAATGCGGCAAGCAACCTTATTTCCCCCCCCCCTCCTTCCTTCCACCAGACAGAATGAGCTGCAGCCCAGGAGGCGGGCATAAGGGGGGGGGCGCAGGGTACCCCGATCCTGGAGAGGAGGAGCAGGCAAGAAGGTGATCTGGGCCCAGAGCCCCCCCCCAAAGTCTAGGGAAGGCTTCCTCCCCCCCTTCCTCAAGCCGGCTGCAGCCGCCACCATTATAAAACCTGAGTAGCATCCGTGATGCTTTCAGCCGGAGGATAAAATGATGATGCAACAATGGAGAATTTCAGGCTCGGTCCGTTGCATCCCTTGTCTGATCCAAAATAAGGCTGCATCTTCCCAGGGAGCCGGATTGCTTTGCTCCAGAAGAACAGGCCAAAAAAGGCACTCAAGCCAGGCATTGTTCTGGCTGGACAATTTTGCCAAAAACAGGATTCCTGTTCTGGGCATTAATGTAATTCCCAAGAAACTGGGCTGGCATGGAACACCGCTTCCGTTCCTTCTATCCCATCCAGGATCCCTTCTGCTTCATAATTGGGACAAGAAGAGTATGATGATGTTACCTAGTTAGGGGAATGAAACCTCTACAAGAAAACAAGCAAGCTCAGAGAGCACCAAGGACCCCACAAAAAGAGAAAAGGGGAGCCCTCCATAGCAGAGTGCCCACGTCAGGACAGCTTTGCATTAACCTGCAGCGGAAGGGAAATTGAGAATTTAGAACCAAACCCAAAAGGCCTTGAAGATCTGTGTTGTGTTGCAAGCCAAAACCTCAATTCAACACTTGGGGTCATTTAAATGGGTAACAGATTTGGGGTGTCACTTATTAAATTGGATACGCTAAGAACATTCCCAGTGTCCATCGTCTTCCCCGTAAGGGCTGCCCTTGATTTTGCAAATGAAAAGGTTTTAAAATAAGAATTTGAGTGGAAAGGTTTTAAAATAAAGAGTTTGAGGGGAAAGATTTTAAAATGAGAATAAGGTTTTGGGCTAAAGTTAAAGGGATGATGATGATGAATCTTTATTGCCGTCTGTTATATTTTTCTGTGTATTTCAATTTCTTGCAAGCCACTTCAAGCTGCTTTTCTGTAGACACCAATAAAGGAGAATATTTGCAGCTCAGGGTTGAAACGAGGGGTCCTTGCTGTTCTCTGAGCTTGGTGGTTTCCTTGCAGAGGTTTTATTACCCAATTAGGTAACATCATCAGTGCTAGGAGGGAGTGGGATTTGGGGAGAGGAGGAGGAGGAGGACTGTGAGGTCCTTGGTACTCTCTGAGCTTGGTGATTTCCTTGCAGATGCTTCATGACCCAAAGTAGGGAACATCATCGGTGCCTAACTTAACCCATCCTCAATGCACTGATGATGTTCCTTAGATGGGTCATGAAATGTCTACAAGAAAACCGTCAAGCTCAGAGAGCACCGAGAGAGCACTCTCCTTTGCACAAACAGAAGTGTGGGATGGGTAAACCACAAGGAGAGTGGGATTCAGCAGAGGGGTTCTTTGGGGGGGAGACCCTCCCCAGTTTTGACAGGCCTTCCGACCGGCCATTGCAGAAGTCTCTGCAGTTGGTGCAACTTTTTTGAGGGGGGCGGGTGTCTCCTGCTTCTGTTTTCCAGGATCTGGTGAAGAGCCACTTGATGTACGCGGTGCGAGAGGAAGTCGAAGTCCTGAAAGAGCAGATCAAAGAACTCATTGAGAAAAACAACCAGCTGGAACAAGAGAACAACCTGTTGAAAACCTTGGCCAGTCCAGAGCAGCTGGCTCAGTTCCAGGTTCAATTGCAGACGAGCAATTCTCCAGCTGGGAATTCTTCGCAAACGCAGGGGACGAACCTGCAACCTTCCCAAGCTGCAGCACCGCAAAACTCCGGACCTTCGGCCTAGTCAGTCTTAAGCACCTCTTGAGATTTCGGCACTCTGGATTCTGCTGAGAGAGGCTGGACTGCGGGAATCCAGCAGTCTCTGCATGCTGTCTCCTACCCCCCCTCCCCAATTATGAAGACACTTCTGCGCCCTCCCTCCCTCCCTCCCTCCCCAACTCCTAGTCGCAAAACATTGGTTTCCTTTCCAGTATTAGAGCCGTTCAAGGGGGGAGCAGGAGAGGGTTGAAATTTTTCTTTTGAGATTTATTTTTTAAAGTTGGGAGTGGGAGGGAGGGTCTCGCCACCATTCAGGGAATTAGCACAAATGCACTGGGCGACTTGAGCAGCTTTTGCAGCGGCTGCTAAAAGAAAAAAAAAAAAAAACCAACCGTATGAGTTTTTGTGTGCCTGAAGCTTAATTTTTCCTTAACGATCTTCCTTCCGTGTTAATGCCGTGATGAATGCAAGCGCTGTTGGGCCTGGCAATGTGAAGAACTTGGCTAGGGTGGTGGGGATGAAGCCCCCTTCTCTAGCTTTCCACCAGGAAGCCAAAGGAATAAGACAGGGAAAGAAAGAACTCTGGGGAAACTGAGGGACAGTAAAAAAAAAGGAGGGAAGGGGCTTTTGGTGCCTGCAGTCTTAAAAAAAAAAAAAAAAGCAGATGTGCACTCATTTTCTATAGCCAAGGAAGGTGCGAAAAAATTAAAATAAATTAAAAAAATCACCTATTTTCTAGGAGAGGAACCGGTAGATAAAAATGCTGTGACATAGGATGGGTCTGATGAAGGTTTCTTTGCTTAATGTATATTTGTGTATTTAGTGTACAATTACTTTGTAAAATAGAAACTGTAACTACTCCATTCAGTTGTACAGAGTGAATTTAAAAAGAATGAACTGAATCAGTTTGGATAGCGATTTTATTTTTCCTTTGGTTTTGGTTGTTGTTGTTTTTTTAAGTTTATTTTTACTTTATTTTATTTTTTTGACGCTACATGGATTCAATTTTGCACCTATACAGCTCTTTTTGGGATTCGGCTGGTGCTGCTTCTGTCAGTTGCCTTGGAAAATGAATATATATATTGAAGTCAAACTCTGTCCTTTGCAGTTCCGGTTGATGCGGGCTGCGGGTGGGGGAGGGGCAGGGATGAATTCACCAAAGCAAAAATCTTAAAAAAATTAATTCCTCACATTTTGGAGGTGGGCATACGATCTGTGTAATAAAATGCATATGTTCTTGTGCATGTTCTGGGCGATGAATTGGGAGGAAAATGGTAAAAATACCAGTATATTTAACGATTGCACATGTCAACTTCCAATAAAGCATACCATGTTGATATAGAAGCTGTGAGTTCGATCCTAGGTTAGAGGCAGATATTTTCTCTCTCTGGGCACAATGAGAATATTATCTGCTGAACCAAACTCCGCATTGGTGACAGGAAGGGCATCCGGCCAGTAAAACACTCGGCTCCATTCAGTTGCCCAGATTCCACCCCCCGCAAGGGATTATGGGGTCATTAAAAGAAGATGATGTGGTCAGTCAAAAGCCAGATTCAACCAGGTTTTGCAAAGCCTATTTAAAAAAAAAAGGTGTAGAGAGCGTTTCAACAGCAAAATATTAAAATTGTAATCCTGCCGCAAAAGGACTTCTGCCAAAGAAATGCAAACTTGAGGTTTCAGCCAGAGGGAGAAAAGATGGAAATCTTGCTTTGACTAACCTCTGCTTTTACAAGGGGTAGAAAAGGCAGTTCGGTCCTTCGAAAGAGGTGATGCAAAACCGAAGCGGCAATAATTGTTATAATAACTAGCCTTTTTTAAAACTGAATCTGGCTAATGTTAACAGTGTCTATGCTTCAAAGGGGAAAGTAGAGTTCTAGCGTTCTGAAGGCATCGTTCGAGCTGCATTAAACGGATTGGGCTTCAGGTAATGCTGAGCGTTATTCGAAATGCTTTTGTGTGTGTGTGTTTGTTTGATTTATTCTTCATTGATCCCTGCAAGATGGGGGTGCCAGTAACTACATTGCATCCTAAAGAAATTATGAGAGACTTGTTAGTAGAGGAAGACAATATGGCTTAGTTTGTAGTCTGTCCCTAGTTAGTCACAGTTAGAGATGTAAACCTCGGGATTTGACGGGAATAAAAAACCACGAATGCCTTTTTAAAAAAGTTCAGTTGGCTTGGTGGCTTCCTTCCATACTCTTCCCGGCAGACAAAGGGACATGAAGCTTAGCTAACTAAATTAGGGATGATTCAGAAACTTTACCGGTCAAGTCCAGCCTACAGATAGATGCTCATTGTTTTGCTTGTCACTAAACAAACTTGTGGCTCCGTGTGATTTTGCAGCTTCAAACTGTTTACCAGACGTTACAGGATCTCTTCTCAGAAATGCAGCTGGCCTGTGTTTGCTTAATTCTGTTCACCGTTTCCCACCCACCCCACTGAAAATATGAGCCATTTCACCTTACCCATCTTTTTGTGCAATAGGAAATAGTCAGCATGTAGTGTGGGAGAAATGGTGACAGGACCTCACAAATCACAAATGTGTTTAGGATCGCCAAGAATTACAGGATTCTATAGTCGGGACATAGAACAACAGAGTTGGAAGGGACCTTGGAGGTCTTCTAGTCCAACCCCGTCCTATTTCTGACAAATGGCTGTCCAATCTCTTAAAAACCTCCAGGGACTGAGCACCCATAACTTCTGGAGGCAGGTCGTTCCGCTGATAAATTATTCTTGATTTTCAGGAAATTTCTCCTTAGTTCTCCTTGTGTCTTCATGAGACTTTATGAAAGTTGTGTCTCCATGAGGTGACTGTCCAGTAATTTGTGGGTGTGTATGTGTGTGCCTTCAACTTCCATCTTGACTCCTGGAAACAATTTTTCAGAAAATGGAAACTAGATTTCTGAAGTGGTTTGCCATTGCCTCCTTCCTAGGGCTGAGGCAGAGCGACTGGCCCAAGGTCACCCAGATGTCTTCCTGCCTAAAACAGAGGGTCCTCCATTTTTTTTGGCCAGTGTTTTAATCGCTACCTCATCTGGCTTTTAGTCCAGTGAAAAAGCCAGTTACCTCTCTGAGACTTTGGTTCAACTATATCATTAATCCGTTTAGAAATACAGTTTAACAAAACCCAGCCTTGGTCTTCCTGTATGCTAAACCAGTTGCTGAAAATAATTACTGCAGTCTTGATTATCTTCCATGGAGCTTCCTTTGAGGCATCTCAACCGTCCCCTAAGTTGTTTTTTTCTTCTTTTTGCTAAATTTATCCTGCTTCTTCAACAATTCTTCGTATAAGACTTAGTTGCTGTTACCAAACCGCACACTTTGAAAGAGAGAGAAAAAAAAGAGGCAATTTGCAGGGATACAGGACAGAAACAGCTGAAATTAAAATATTTCCTGTGTAAATCTTAACTCTGATTTTGGTAATTACAGTAATTTTGGTAATTCCCTCCCCCCCACACACACACTTTTCCAATTGTATTTCAGATACATAGTTTCCTAATTGGTTTTGCTCGGGTGGGACTGCAGCCAAGACGAATATGCATTTATTCTGCATCTTCCAACTGTGACGTTAAATTTTATATTTGCACATTTTTTTTTAGCCAATCGATAGTTGTTCTTCCTGTAGAAAATTACAGAAGACCAGATATTTTTCCTTGGGACGGGGTAGGGTGGAATAAAGATAAATTATGCTAATTCTGTACGTCAATCATATTCAATATATTTATTGACCTAAATCTAGAAAATAATACTTGTACCCTGGAAGCAGGCCACTTGTGTTTTGATGGTGTTAGTGTTAGTATTTATGCTGTCAGGATGGCTGTGTGATTCCTGATTCCTGGGAAAAATAAATGATCCGATTGCAGTTTGTCATTGAATCAGGAACCCGGATAAAGTCCTTGCTATCATCTCTGGTAGCCAGCAAAAAAATATTATTTATCCTGCTACTCTTAATGGCATTGGCTTCTGCAGTCAGAGGTCAATTTATGATTGATTTTTATGAGATGGACACAAATAAATGCTGGATTGGAATTCTTCAAACTGAAGAGATGTGAGACTAGCGTGGGGTTGCAATTATTTTTGTGGGAAATAATGCTAGCTTTGATTTTCTGGTAAAAAGGCATGGAGTGTAAAAAAACGAAACAAATCAGCTTCCAGTGCTATCAAAAGCTCTGTAGAATTATTTCATCATTTACTCCTTAACAGATTTTTGAGAGGAGAAGAAGAAGGAAAGAAAAGGGAAGATGGTGACAAATAATCGTGTAAGGTCTTGTTAGATTTTTAGGGTTAAAACGTCGAACTCTTAAAAATGAGAATATGTACTTGCGGTATTTTGCTGAGAAGAAATATAACACTGGTCTGAATTGCCTTCTGTCATTGGATGTTGTGAAGGATTAATGGGCCGTAGAACAATTTGGTTGAGGTTAAGGTGCTGGCCTTAGAAACCAGGAGACTCTGAATTCTAGTCCTGCCTTGAAAAAAATGTACTTATGGTATTTTGCTGAGAAGTAATATAACACCGGTCTGAATTGCCTATCATGACTGATGTGTGAAGGATTAGTGGACCGTAGAACGATTTGGTTGTGGTTAAGGTACTGGCCTAGAAACCAGGAGACTGTGAATTCTAGTCCCACTTCAGACAAGAAAGCTGGCTCCTCTCAGCCGAACCTACCTCACAGTGCTCTTGTGTGGAAAATAGGAGGAGGAGGAAGTATTAGGATTTAATTCACTGCCTTGAATTATAAAAATAACAAAAGTGGGATATAAATAAATTACAAACTATTACATCAGTTGTTTTTAATTGTATTCCGCCTTTATTATTTTTACCAAAAAAAAATCAAGACAGTGAACACATCCAATTCATCTTCTTCCTATTTTCCTCACAACGACCCTGTGAGGTGGGTCAGGCTGAAAAGAGAGTGATTGGTCCAAAGCCACCCACCCATCTTTCATGCCTAAGGTGGGACTAGAACTTCTAGTCTCCTGCTGATTGGTCCAAAGCCACCCAGCCAGCTTTCCTGCCTAAGATGGGACTAGAACTCATTTGCCTCGTGATTGGCCCAAAGTTACGGCAGGACTTGAACTCACAGTCTCCTGCTTTCTAACTTGGTGCCTTAATCTCTAAACCAAACGGACTCTTCAAACTATTACAGCAACTGCTGTTTCTTATAGAGAAGATCAGCACTAAAAATTATGTTTAAAACCCCCAAAATATAATTAGAGAAAGCATCACTGTTTTTACATTTGTCTGCCAAAAGAGTCAACAACCTCTACCTGTAAATTAATCAGCCTTCAGGGTAGAGAAATGTTTGATAACTCTCGCTTGTTTTTGCCATTCTCTGCTCTTGGCAGCAGTTTGCATACACCTCAGGATGTTGCTGAAAAGATGCAAATTTTCTCCTGGGGTTTTCCTTCCAGGCAAAATACTAGTACTACTATAGGTAGTAGTAAGGGTGAGGTGGAGGACAACATCTTGAGGTGTTCTCCAAGGAGCTATAGGACAATGAGTTCAGAGAACTTTGAAAAAAGATCAACAAATTTATGAGGAACGTATCAGTCACTTCATATTTTTTTAACAGCTACGAGGAATCGGTACAGCATTACCCCTTTCAATATCTTAGGACATATTTAAATAAGTTCTTCAAACTCTTTCTGGCTGTCCTAAGAACAGGTGGTATTAGATGGATCACGGCTTAATTCAAACAAGACCCCTAAGTTGAATGTGTAGCTGGCCAGTAATTTATAGAAAAAGGTTTCCCGATATCTTTAATTGCACTGAAAGATTTCAGGAATAATGCACTTAGAAATGAAACTTTTGTTCTCTAATTCTGTAGCATGAATAAAGATTCTTGAATTGTGTCTTTTTCTTTCAACATAACAGAAATATATGACAGAAGAGTCAAATCTGAGGGGGTGTAGGTTTGTTTTTTTGTGTGTCTGATTTTGGGGACATATGTTTTAAAACACTAGAAGTTCAACTCCACCCACACAAATATTGTTTATTCCCTGCGACAAGAAATTTAAAAAGTAAAGAAATTAGAAGTGGACAAAAGCTTGAGTGAGATGGTTGCAAGCAAAATATTCTGGGACACAAATTGTGGAAATTATTTGCAATACCTGGCTTTAAAGGACAGGCAATCTTGTGCTTGCCAGTATTTTGACAATTCCCATTTCCTTTGACTAATTCTGCAAATAAGGAGGCAGTTGTAACCCAAACCACTTATGTGCGGTTTACACATTGGCACTTTGGTTAGTTAAAAAGTGCAACTATAGAAAATTCATTGCTGTCAGCATTGATTTCAGAAGAGTGTTTATGTGAGAAGCGAATTCAAAACCCAAGAGTTTTT